TGGGGGGGGGGCAGGAGATCAACGAGGGAGGATCGAGGGGGAGGAGGGAGAATCAGCGAGGGAGGATCGACGAGGGAGGGAGGATCAACGAGGCAGGATCTTTCTGGGGGAGGAGGGAGAATCAGCGAGGGAGGATCTTTCTGAGGGAGGGAGGGTCAACGAGGGAGGATCTCTCCTGGGGGAGGGAGGATCAACGAGGGAGGATCAACGAGGGAGGCAGGATCAGCGAGGGAGGATCGAGGAGGGGGAGGAAGGCGATACGCCAGCTGGCGCCACGCAGCAGACGACTGCGCGAACAGTGGAGGTGACACATTCAAGGTGTGTTCGAGGTGACTTGCACCGCATGTTTGGCCACAACCTAGCCTGCGCCATATGGATCGCAGCACATTCTTTGCTAGCGCATCACAGCACTCGCATGTTATATTTCCACACGCGTGCGTGTGTATACACCCTGGGTCTGCGCACGTTAGGCTTGGCCGATCGCCCGGCGCATTCCTCTCTCAGCCAGCGCCTCTCCCTTTCCAGAGGAGATCCGACCCTGTCCCTTTGCCTGTGCCCACCGCTCCCTCCCTATGCGCCGCTTCATCGCTTCGTTTCGCGGGGTGCACGTCCAGATCGCACAAAGTGTGAACGTTCCAGCGGCACTTCGTTGCATTCTGGAGGTCTCTTCAAGTCTGCTGCGGGTCGTCTCGTGCCTCCTGCAGGCCCGGGAGGGGGGGCCTTGGAGGCGGCTCGAAGCTTGCTGAGGTCCTCGTGGCCGCCTCCGGAGGCTCCTGGTTGTCTTCATGGGGTGATCGCGTTCCGTCTGGGCCTGGCGCTCGTCTGGGTTGTTGCAAAGCGAAACCCACTCGTTTGCAGCGCGTGTAAGGAAAGGACAGCTTTGGGGTTTCTGGATGCCATGGCAATGGACACTCTAACACGCCGATCATTGGATCAAAAATGTGCTTAAACTGTGTCAAGCATGTTCTAACATTGCACAAACATGTGTCTTACATGTTTAAGACATGGTTGAAACATGCTTTAGACATCTGGAAATTATTTGGCAGCGTGCTTCCCCTCCATGGACCGATTTCCCCAACTTCAGGGCCACCAGAGACGCTAGTGTGCGCAACGCGCTTGTTGAACGCGGACGGGACGGGAAGCGTGCGACGAAAGCCCATACGGAAATTGCCGAGTGGGGCCCCTTTTGAAGCCTGAGGGGGTCTCTTAAGAGTTTTGGGGGGTCTTCTCTGGGCTTTGTGGTGGCCTTTATGATTGTCTCTTGGGGTCACGTTGTAAGTTGTAGGGGCCATCTGGGGGGATGGGGGTCTCCTGGGGTGTTTTCGGGTTTCCCCCCCACCCCCTCCGGTAGCTCTTTGTTGGCATGGGCTTTCATGGGGGCGTTTTGGCTCGTCTTGAGGCCGTATTGGGGCCCGCTTGGGAACCTTCTGGGCTGTTTTGGGCTAGTCTCGGGGGCGTCTTGGGCCGTCTCGGGCTTTCGGGAGCCAGAAAGGCGCTAGCGCGAACACCTTTCAACACCAATGGTTTCGGGGATTCATGATTTTGGCCTCTAGCTGCCTTCGTGGGGGTCACTTTGGAGCCCTTCTGGGCCGTCTTGTGGGCCTCTTGGGCTCTCTTGAAGCGATCTTGGGACATCTTGGAGCCCTCGTGGACAGTCTGGTAGCCTTGTGAGGAAGTGCAGCGCCTCTGGGAGCTCGTCTGCAGCGCATGAGTTCCATTAGCCAGGGGCGAGCTCCATTGACCTGGGACGTTCTCTCTAAGCCTAAGCCGGCCGGGTCGGACTCCCCGGGGAGGGGGAGCGGGAGGGGAGGGAGGAGAAGGAGGAGGAGGAGAAGGGGAGAAGGAGGAGAATGGGAGAAGGAGGAGGAGGAGGATGCGGAGGAGGAGGAGGAGGTGGAGGATGCGTAGGAGGAGGAGGAGGAGGAGGAGGAGGAGGATGCGGAGGAGGAGGAGGAGGAGGAGGAGGAGGAGGAGGAGGAGGAGGAGGAGGAGGAGGGGGTGGATGGGAGGAGGAGGAGGAGCAGGAGGAGGGAGAGGGCGAGGGCGAGGGCGAGGGCGAGGCGGAGCCCCGAAGGGGTCGGCGAAGATCTGATTTTATCGTCGCTGTCCCTGCCCCTCTATAGCCCTTCCCGTTCCTCCCTTGTAATATCGTTGTGAGGCCCATCTGCGAACGATTTGGCCTTCATCGTCGGCCTTTGGATATCTGCCCGTGAGGTCCGCCACTTGGGAAGTGGACACGAGCACGCAGTTGGGTCCTCATTCGGGTCGCCCATGTTTGGGGCAGTTCTCTTTGAATCGACGAGCGGGCGTGCCGTCTGGCTGGCCCTGCGATGCGCAGGGCTCGACGAGATCATCGGCTCGACTAGGGCAGGGGTGGCCATCTGGACTGACCTCGCTCACCACATTTCTCGCTGCATAGCCATTTGGCTCTGGTGGTGCACCCCCCTGATGCTGCCAGTGCGTTCTGAGTCCTGCCGCGGCCCATGCGAACTACAGGCAGGCAGGGAGGAGAGGAAGGTGGACAGGGACGAGGAGGAGGAGAAGGAAGAGGAAGAGGCGGAGGAGGAGGAGGAGGAGGACGAGGAGGGGGAGAAGGAGGAGGAGGAGGATGACGAGGAGGGGGAGGAGGAGGAGGAGGAGGAGGAGGAGGAGGAGGAGGAGGAGGAGGAGGAGGAGGGGGAGGAGGACAGCAGTAGAGGAGGGGGAAAGCGGGGACAGAGGATGAGGAGGAAGGAGGACATAATGGGAGGAGATGGGGGGAGGAGGAAGGTGGAGAGGGACGAGGAGGAGGAGGCGGGAAGGAAAGTGGAGAGAGATAAGGACAGCAGTAGAGGAGTAAGTTATGGAAGGAACACGGGGAGAGCTGGAGGCGGAGCAGACCGAGGAGGGTGATGTTGAAGAGGAAGACGGGAACGATGATGATGGTGTTGATGATGCTGCTGATGGTGAGTATGATTATGATGATGCTGATGATGATGCTGATGCTGATGGTGATGCGGTTTCGAGATGATGATGATGCTGATGCTGATGATGATGATGATGATGATGATGATGATGATGATGATGATGATGATGTTGATGATGTTGATGATGATGATGATGATCATGATCATGATCATGATGATGATCATGACCATGATGATGATCATGATCATGATCATGATAATGATGTTGCCGATGATGATGAAGAGGAGGATGATGATGATGATGCTGATGGTAGTAATGAGGATGATGATGCTGATGGTCATGATGATGCTGATGATGGTGATGATGATGATGATGCTGATGATGATGATGCTGATGCTGATGCTGCTGCTGATGATGTGATGATGATGATGATGATAGTGATGATCTTGATGATGATGGTGATGATGATGATGGTGATGATGATGCTGATGATGATGATGATTATTATGATGTTTCTGATGATGATGATGATGATGGTGATGGTGGTGGTGATATTGAGGAGGATGAGGAGGAACGCGGGCGGATGTTAAGTGTGGTGACCTGGTGGCGGGGTGCAGGAATTGGCCTTTCAGGGTACCTCTTGGAGCCAAGGGGTCCCAAAGGGGCCCTAAAATCCCCGGTAACACCCGCCCGGGAGAAGAGCGGGCGGGCTTGTGGGGGGAGAGCGCGAGAGGGGAGGAGGGCGGACCACGACGGGGGCAAATATAGGAAGAGGAGGGCGGAAGAGACGAGGACGGAGGGAGCAGGATGACGACGACGAGGAGCAGGAGGAGCGCAGAGAAGCAATTAGCAAAGGGTCACGGCGACGAGGAGGACGAGCGGGGGGGAGGACGGATGCATCGGGCATCGTGGCGGTCCACTGGACTTTTGGTCCACCTGGGTGCGGGCTGCACTGGAGCATACGGAGTGGGATCGGCACCGAGCAGTGGGTCGGGTATGGATCCGCGGAGCGAGGGTGCTTCCCAGCTCACCCTTCTTCTCATCAAGCCCTCGAGGGATGTTCTGGAAACCACCCAGCAACCCCTCAACTCCTCCCCCCCCCCAAGAGCCCTTTCCCCCCCCCCGCCTCTAACCCCACTAGCTCCCTCCTCCTCCTCCTCCTCCTCTTCCTCCTCCTCCTCCTCCTCCTCCTCCTCCTGAGTCTTCACGCCCTCCTGGGAGGAGCCCGTCGTCCCTGTTTCGCGCCCCTCGGCGCGAGGCCGCTGGCTGCTAGTTACACTGCACCCCCTGACCCCACCAGCACAAGCTCCAGAGCCTTCACACCTCTGGTCGCGTCCATCCTTCTTGGATCAGCCTTTGTCCGCGGAGGGGGGGTTGGGTGGGGGGCATCCCAAATGCTCCGGTTCCTCCTCCTCCTCCCCCTCCTCCTCCTCCTCCTCCTCCTCCTCCTCCTCTTCCTCCTCCTCCTCCTGCTCGTCCCCCTCCTCATCCCCACCCTCACTGCGCAATCCACTCATCTCCTTGCCCGTCCTCCCCCCCCCCACCACCTCCTGGCTCCTCCTCCCCCCCATGGCCCTCATCCTGCCCGCTCTCGTCCGCTCCAACCTCCCCCTGCACTGCCCTGCACCGTTCCTCCCTCGGGACCTCTTGGTCACAGCGCACTTGCAAGGCTCGACTGAGGTCACAGCGGGTTCGGGGAGGCCGCGTGCAGATGTTATATTCCAGTACGTCCGGTGCGGCAAAAAGAGTATCGCCGCGCCCCATCGGCGGCCAGGGACTCCCCCCAGGGGGGTCCGGGCCGTCCTGGCGGTGTACGGAGCCTGGGCTGAAGTGCGCCCCGCGCGCCCCTCGGCCCCGTGGCGAGCCGACGTAAAGCCGTGCCTTCTGGGGGGAGGGGGGGGGCTCCTTCTCCTCCTCCTCCTCCTCCTCCTCCTCCTCCTCCTCTCCTCCTCCTCCTCCCTCATCATCATCATCATCATCATCATCATCATCATCATCATCATCATCATCATCCCCTCCCCTCCTCCTCCGCCTCCTCCTCCTCCTCCTTCTCTTCGTCCTCCTCCTCCTCCTCCTCCTCCTCCTCCTCCTCCTCCTCCTCCACCTTCATCCAGCAGCACCAGCGCATCGCCACGTCGTGCCACCTATTGGGTGCATCGCTTCCTGCTGGAGGCCACCTGCGCCCCCCCGTCGTCCACGTCACGGCGCACCGCCGACGGAGCGGAGCGTGGAGGCCGTGCCCACTCTCATGCAGACCCGAGCGGCACGCCAAGGGCAGAGAGCTTGCGCCGCCATGCTGGGAGGCAGCATTCCACGCCCTTGCCTTCTTACACATGCGTAAGTAATAAAGGTGAGACACCCAGCCACACTCCATGGGTAGACATACCCTGCGGGAAATGAAGAGCTCGGCCATGCAAGAGGTGGTTGCATTGGAAGCTGCATCGTCCAGAGAGGCCCCAGCTGACTCGTCGGCGGGCGTTTGGTAGGAGCACGCTCGGAGGCCAAGAGCCTGGACGAGCCCAGAAACGGCAAGACTGGCCGTGCCACGGCAGCGAGGCCGCCGACACCTACACGTCGGCAGGGCGCCACTGCTCCAGCACGACAGCTGCCTTCGATTAAATTCAAGCTCGGTGGCCAGGCAGTCGTCTTGCCGCCCGACGCTTACAGATCAGAGGCGGACGACCCTCTCGAAGCGCCAGCATACCTCCAGAGCTTCGTGCGCCTTCGACACGTCCAGGGGCGGGCCTGGTCGGAGCTGTACCCCCCCGTCCGCGGGCCCCATCTGACTCATCGGCGGGCTTGTGAGGAGCACACTCGGAGGCCGGGAGCCGTGCCACGGCAGCGAGACCGCCGACACCTACACATCGGCAGGGTGCCACTGCTCCAGCACGACAGCCCGACCCAGCTTCGCAGAGGCCGCCGCCGCTCTTGGTCGGAGCGGTCCCCCCCGCCGCGGCCCCGCTGGCGCGGCGCAGGGGCCCCTTTGCCTGCCGGCGGCCCCGTCCCCCCCCCCCCCCCCTCTCGGAGCTCCGAGCGCCGGGCCCGCGCCGGTGTCGAGCGCCGCAGGGGCGGCAGCGCGTGGCAGCCGGTTCGGGGGCCACATGTGAACCCTACCCCTACCCCCCACGGTTTCTGAGGGGGAGGGTGGGGAGTCACTTCGCTCGGGAGCTCCCGAGCGAAGTGAACCCCACCCTCCCCCTCAGAAATCGTGGGGGGTAGGGGTAGGGTTCACATGTGGCCCCCGAACCGTGGCAGCCGGTTCGGGGGCCCCGAGGCGGGGGTCAGTGCAGTTGAAACGACGCGAAGATCGGGACAACATCGGATCGGGATGGCTCGAAATCTCTGAGGATCGGTGGGTTTGGAGGACGTATCGGGCGCCGCGGCCGCTCTGAGAGCGTTCCGGAACGCTCTGAGAGCGCTCTGGAACGCTCTGGAGCGATTTATCCCGATCCTAGCCCTGTTTAGCAGTCTGCAAGCAGTGGCGAAGCGTCCTGGCGTGCTTACAGCCCTACCAAACGATGTTCTAAGAGCCTGTTGTGGTTTCCGCGAGATGCTCTTGGAACATTTCTGGCGGAGCCTGTCTTGTTTTATCACATCGGGCTTATGTGCCAAGCACATTGTTCTTGTTCTTAGAACATTTCTGGGTTCTAAGAACAGTTCGTGGTAGGACTATAGGAATGCCAGGACGGTCCGTCCCTGCTCAATGCAGACGGGGGTCAGCCAGAGCGTCGGATCCTGCAGGATTCTAGCTGCCTCGGTATGCCCGTGCTGACGCGCAGCACGCGCCGTGCTCAAAGATCGTACGTTCCAATACGTCGCGTGCTGGCGCCACGTGTTGGCCCACGTGTTGGCGAACGTATCGCGCCAGACCTGCGTTTTCAGTCTACGTGCTGAGCTCCGTATCAGCACGCTACGTGATGCGAGTTGCGCATCGGGGCAGCGAAGCGCAGGATCCTGCATTGCCAGGGGTGCATTGACACGGGCTTGCGTGCAGGATCCTGCAGGATCCTGCCAGGCCTGACTGACCCGGGTTGGCGTTGACCCAGATCAGTAGATCCCCGACAATTGTCATGGGTTGGGTTTTCAGAGCTGTGTCTTTCCCCTCTCCTCTTGCTCCCCCTGTCCCTGCTACGCTCCAGAAGCTCGAATCACGCCGCCGCCGCGCACGCGCATGTCCGCCACCGCGCTCGCTGGGGGTGGGGGGCTGGAGGCATCCATTGACCTCGCCACCCTTTCTTGCATGTTTCCGCTGGGAGGCCTGAAGCCAGCGAATTCGCAAAAAGGGTTGGCGCATGTTGGGCATGTCGACCTCGAAGGGGGGCGGCTGGCTATCCATTTGCGTCGCCGAGGGCATGATGCTCACTCGTGGGCTCCAGAAGGTGACCACCTGCAACCGATTGGAGTGCAACATACGGGGGGCAGCCTTTGCTGGCCTTGAGTTGCAATTAGGTGGAGCGCCTGTCGGCGGGAACTTATCGTTGGCACCCCGTCGGTTGGGACGAAGCACCTGATTACAGAGAAGACCATCTGACTGCAGGGCGGACGATCATTGCAAAACACTCTCTGACAACGAACAGGGAAATCCGGGCGGTG